CGAACAGACAATCTATCCATGGCTAATCTTGAATATTAAATTAATTTTTATATTTTAGTTGATCCAAATACAAAATTATTTATTTCTCATTGTGGACAAAATAGCATAAATGAGGTAATTTTAAATTATGACTGAAATTAATCGGTATCCCTTAAAATCATCCAAATCCCACAATGAAATATTATTTTCCGCCAGTAGCTATGACTTGAAAAAGGTCGGAGCCACCCGCGTCCACTGCAGAGGTGGGTCGGAACAGTCAAGAGGTGTCGGAACTCGGAAGAGCCGGAAACCGGAATGGCTGAAAAGTCGGAACTCGGAAATCGGAAATCAAAAATTTTTCGGAAATTGGAAATCGAAAGGAAAAAACGACGGAAATAGTAATTTAAAAATTAAATTTAATATTAATTAACTATAAAATTAAATTTGTAGGCAATATATGCAGGTGTTCCCTTAATTTGTATTCCAAATTCGGGTGATCAATTCTACAATTCTTCTCTCGTCGAACATTTGGGTATTGGAATATATGTTTTTTTAGCAATCAGATCCGGGGGCAATGTTATAAGAAATGAAGATTTTCAGGATAATTTTCAGGATGCGTTGAGTGAAATGTTTGGAAATATGTTAGTGAAATTGAAAATAATTTTTATAATTTTAAAATTAGTAGATGCTGTGGATTTCTGATCCTTTATATGTATTTGCTAGAACTGTATTTATGTATTTAAAAGTTCAGGCCCAGTTTCGACCGTGGTGCGACACTTGGGGACGGACTTTTGCGGACCGACATTTGAGGATGGACATTTGAGGATTGCGGATCGACATTTGAGGACCGACATTTGGGGATCGAATTTGAGGATTGAGGACAGACATTTGGGGACCGACTTTTGAGGACCGACATTTGAGGATTGCCATTTGAGTATAAGAATATCAGTTTCTTAAAACAGAAATTACACATATTATGTAAGGTGAAGTTGTTCCAGCAACGGGGGATGTTGTTACAGCAACGGGGGATGTTATTCCAGAATGTGGATGTTGTTCCTTCAACGGGGGATGTTGTTCAAACGACGAGGAATGTTGTTCCAACGACGGGGGAGGTTATTTCAACACGCAGATTACCTTCCCCCATTGACGAAACAAAAGGTTGCCGTTGACGGAACAACATCACCCGGTGCTGAAACAACATCCCCCGGTGCTGGAACAACATCCCCCGTCGTTTGAAAAACATCCCCCTTTGCTGGAACAACATCCCCGCTTGTGGAACAACTTCACCTTAGTACATAATATGTGATAATTTCTGTTTTAAGAAACTGATATTCTTATACTCAAATGGCAATCCTCAAAAGTCGGTCCCCAAATGTCTGTCCTCAATCCTCAAATTCGATCCCCAAATGTCGGTCCTCAAATGTCGATCCGCAATCCTCAAATGTCCATCCTCAAATGTCGGTCCGCAAAAGTCCGTCCCCAAGTGTCGTATAACCGTTTCGACCTAATTTTCGGTTTCGAGAAGTATTATTGTTATTTCCGCACTTGCCAAATGAATATAAGTGAGTAGGGTTATCGGTTCTTGGAAAATCTTCGAATATCCGGAGCCGAACCGAAAAATCATCGGTTCTTCGATTCGGTTCGGTCTGCTACGGAGGGTACCCTATAAATGATGCTACGGGGGGTACTACGGAGGGACCCTATAAATGAGAATCAGTTGTGCTTCGGTTTGGGCTCATTCTATTCCATATTCCATACAATGAATTTTTCCACAGTACAAACTATCGTATAAACTAACAAAATGTCTAAAAAGATATTAAAAAATGTTGGAGCTAAAAACGCTTTTTTGCAGACAATTTCAAGTGTTATTGGTGATTAATTTTAGGAAAAAATTTGGAAAACGAGGGAGAGATAACAATTTTGGATTTTTAAATTTTTATTTAACATTTACTGGTGAATTAAAGACATAACGTAAATGCTGAAATAATTACCCTGGGTAAATATTATTTCAGTCCCTCGCTGTAGGGGGTAATTAATAGGGCGGATATACTGGATTTTGGGTATGTCTCAATCCAGTTGTGGCAAAATTGATTTATTTTTTGATTTTAAGTCTTTAAATGTTCAAATAAATATTTTTAAAATTAGCATAGGCAACTAGGGGGCAATCATTAGAGAGGGTAATTATTTCAGCATTTACGGTATTTAACATTTACGGTATTTAACATTCCTAGAGATCGGTCAAATCAAAGCTTTGCGCAAATCGAATTTTTCAAATATTAGGTTGATTTAAAATTTGATAATATTTTCCAACTTTAAATTATTTGATTTGAATTTGCCCTTGAATTTTAACTTTAATTTTTCTGATCTCTATTTTGCTTTAGGGTTAAACGAGAATTTTTGGTACTTTGTTCACATTAGAGGTCGGTGATATTAGAGGTCGGTGATATTAGAGGTCGGTAGGGGACGGGATCTCGCGCGGGATTTTGCCGAGTCATAAAATCCCTCATTTTTTTATTTGCGGGATGCGGGATTTATTCCGGCTGATCCTGCCCCGCAAAGCTTTTTATAAAAAAAATCCCGCATGCGGGATCCCGCAAACACAATTTTATGACCTCTAGTTCATATCCTCCCCCCTCCCCCACCCGTATTTAATGTTCAACATAATTTTCCTTCTTTATTGTCCTTCATAATTTTCCTTCTTCTTTATTCTTTACATGCAATTCCGTTCAAGATTATGTCAAAAGATTTGGGTTACTTTTACAAATTCATTTACATACATATATACATATTTCTTGTATATGCTCGAATAATTACCCTCTCTCTCAAGTAATTGCCATCTCTCAGATAATTACCCTTCCAGCGATAGATTTAAACAATAATTACACGGGGTAATTATTAGAGCATATAAGGTAATGCTTTTTTAAAATGATTAGACTAGTCAAAACAATATACTTTCTATTTATTTTCTTTTTTGATAAATTCTGGTATAAAATTTTAATTTTCGAATTCGATATTGTTCTTTCTAAACTAAAAATTATGTCGGAACTTGAACAGAACTTTTAAAGGATTCATTTCTAATTCTTGAGTTACTTCATAAGCCAGAATGGAATGATAAGATCCCAATGTTCCGGCCGAACAAACCTGAACTTTCAGTAGACTACTTACCTAACTACTTACCTAAGGATTTCCAACATCAATTTTCTGTTGGAATCTGAATCTGAGAGACCAGACTCGTTTTTATTTATTATTTTGAAGTGTGATCCATTCGGGGATCTGGGACGCAGTCTCGATCAAACAGCTCGAAACGTTTGGTTTTCGTTGTTTCTAGATTTCTAGGTTTTATTTAAAAATCTGAAAATGTTTTACCGACTAACAATAAGCTTATTTGTCGATGGTTTTATTAACTTTAATTAATCCCTTGTTTAGGAGATGTCAGTAAAGATTCTATATTTAAAAGTTTATTTATAATTTTTAAATTTTAAGCAATTAAAATTTAATTTAAAGCTATTAAAATCAATATATAAATTTTTGACTTCACGTGGCCGCGCGCCCCATCCCTTCCTTGCTAAAGTCAGCTTGCGTCTTGATACAAAAAATAGCATTCAAAAACGGAGAGACAAATTCGAGTTCGACTTATCTCTCTTCTTATCCCATATTCTCTTCTGCCTCAAGACAGGCTTGATTTTCATTTAAACATGGCATTGGACAATATTCCCAAATTATATCTTTCTTCATTTGCTACCTCTCCTTGTCTATTCTCTCCCTATATTTTTATTTGTCAGCCTGTTTATTCATTAAAATTTTTTTAATTTTAAAAATTTAAACTTTTTGAGGATAGTTAAGGTTCAAGTTCGGGGTTTAAAAATTTTCTTCTGATTGTGTTTTCCAGTAGAAAAAGAAGGGTTTCAGGCCCCGTGTTTCTATTAAGCCGACGCAATCCTGGTCCAGAAGGGTCTTATTTCTTTACTTTATTACAAAACATCTTTCGTCGCGGCTGGAATCATTTATCGCGCGACATTTGATGTTTACTGTGGTTTGCTGTTATAAATTTTTGTCATAAATGTAAGATAGATGGACGGAATTTAAGAGATTAGGAAATAGATCGTTGGATGATTTTTGAATTCCTATTGGGAATTTTTTGAATTCAACACTTGTTATATTGTTTCCTCCCAGCCTAGCAAATAATGAAAAATGAAACCGACAGTAGGGATGGTAACGGTTAAGATCTTTGCAATGGAGAGCTTTGACGATAACGTCCCATCAGATCTTTGCTTTTTCTGGGATAGTTTCACTAATATAAGTTTTATTGAATTTGAATTAATGGATGCTGGGTTAAGGACAGAGTGTTTAATCGAAATTTCGAAGCAAAAAAACTCGAAAAATCGAAATTTCGTAACAGCCTAGATTAAGAATAAGGTAAAATCATCAGTTATAGAATAGCAATAATAAGACATGCCATTTAACCCCCCCCCCCCCCACTTCCCTCGATAATTCAATTTAAATTTTTGAAAGTTACCTGCTAAAATTTTTTATAATTTATTCTTTATTTTTCAAAAGACCTCTTCATAACAATTTATTGAAGGATGTCCAGAAGCAGGACGTTGTATTTTTAGAACTTTCCTTGTTGAATTTTGCAAGACTTTTGTTGTTGTGTTTATTAGGAATAAATGGATTTGAGTTAATAAAGAAGGGTTGTTGGATATTAGTTGATTTAAAGGATATAAAGAGATCAAAAGATAAAATAGAAGCCCCTGATATCACCTTACATCTCCAGGTTCCTCACTATCACGCCATAATGCTTGATATTCCCATTAGGCCATCAGAATTATCCGATATCCCTCCAATTCCCCTGGATCCTTCCAATCCACCTGGCCTTTACATGATCAAGGTTAAAAGCATTAAATTTTGTGTTCGACTATAATAACTAGAGACCGGATCGAGACAAGATCTCGAACAAAAGGATATCTTGTACAACTCTCATATCAGTCGATATATTAACTTTAAAAAAAATTTTTCAGAAAATGTATTTTAATCAAATATTCATTTTCTTCTTTTTATTAATTTTTATCAACATTTCAATTCAAAAAATGTGTAAATGTAATACTAAAGATGCGGAAACGAAAAAATTGTTCCGCCATCGGTATAAAAGGGGTAGCAATTTATGCCGTTGTGGCATGAAAGATGAATCTAGTGGAGAAGGTTCTGGCTATGAAGATCCTCATTATGGAGGTTCTGACTATGCCTCACAAAAATATTCAGAGGATTCTGAAGGACATTCTTCTTCAAATATTAGTCATCGTTCTGGAAAAGGAAAAGAAGTTGTTGAGGAAGAAGAAGGATTGGGTGAATGGACAGGAAGTGAAATTGACAGTGAAGAAGTTTTGGAAGATATTGAAGAGAGTTTGAAGAAAACGGGAAAAAGTAAAGCTAAGAGTGTGTTATATATTACGGATAATTTTTACCAATCGCATATACAATTAAATGTAAATTTTATATATATTTTTGATTTCTGGATAGAGTTAAACCCCAAATTTATGTGTTTCGTGATACGTGGTTTTATTTTAAAAAATTTGTTAATTTATAAAAGGAAGAGTTCCCAGTAGTTATGTAAATGCTGAAATAATTACTCTCTCTCAAGTAATTAACTACCCCCCCCCCCACCCTCTCTCAAGTAATTTATAGAGTCCGACATTTTAGGTTCCGACCTATTTTTTTTGCAACCTTGTAATGTTGAGTAAAGCTCAAAAAACACTTATTTGGCGCGGTACCATGCTCCTACATTGGACCTATTTGAGCCTAAAAAACCTATTTCGGCTTTTTTGGACCTAAAACCTATTTGAACCTATTTTGACCTTTTTTGGACCTATTTTAGGTTTTTTGAAGATTTTTATTAAAATTAGACTATTTTCTGTCAATTTTTTGTTAAAATGAAGATAAATATTAATGATTCTTTCAAAAAATGATTATTAAACATGAACTTGGGGTAAACTGCACTTTACCGGGCGATTTTAGAGTTAGACAGTAAACTGCGAGCGAGTAACTGCGAGCGATTCCCCGGCTCAAGACCAAGACTAGACTCCTTTTCCTCTCTTTCCTTTGACTGGTTGACAGCTTGGCGTGCTTTTTTTGGGGCTTAAGTCATGAGAAGATCGGCTCAATGAGCTCACCAAAAAGAACTCGTTAAACCGAGTCGGATGACACCAAAATCAGCTCGATTTGATGATTCGGAACAAAATTATAACTAATTTAATCCACGGTGGAAAAACAGTGCTGCTACAGGGGGTATCGAATGAGCGGCAAGAGTTGTTTTTTAATGAGATTCGAATGCACTCCCCCGAATTATTCATTATTTAACGAAGAAAAAATTTTTTCTCAAAAATTTTTTTGATTTTATCAATTTAGTAACCCAAAATTCGAACCTATTTGATCAAAATTTGGACCTATTTTGGCCTTTTTTCGATTTTTCGAACCTATTTTGCCACTCTAAAAACTTAAAATAGGAACCTATTTCTCACTTTTTCGGACCTAAAATGTCGGACTCTAGTAATTTATTACCCCCCCCCCCCCACACAATAATCACCCAGGCAATTTCAACATTTACGGTATCTGGATTTTAGTAAATATTACATAAATAGAATTATGCAATTAATATTTAATTCTTTCAATTGCAGATGTTGTTGGCCACAATTTTATCTAAAAAGTATAACGTGGTAAGTATATCGCTGCAGTATTTGAGTTTTAGGCTTGTTTTACCGCCTTTTGTTTCGCACATACATCCCTGTCAAGAACGATATCTCGAAAAATATTCAATCTTGATAACCAAAATTTTTGTTCTTGGACCTTGTCTCTTAATTGGCTGTTTAGAGATCAAGGAATCGAAGCAAAATCAACGGTTTTTAAGTAAGAATTGTCCGTGTATAAAGAGATTCGGACAAAACATTGATAGGAACATACTCTGGAATTTAATAATCATTTTAACGTGGCAAAATTATCCAGTGTCTGTACTAAATGATTCTTAATGTTTTGAACTAGGGTAGCAACCCGACTCCGAAACCCCGACCCCGAACCCCGACATGCCTTCCCCGACAAACCCCGATCCCAGACACACCCGCCCCCGAAGGGTCGGGTTGCTACCCTATTTTGAACTAAATACTCGAGGACTGATCTTTTGCAAAATTACTAAATTATTTTTAAAGGATATGCTTGTCTACACTAAGGAAGGGGGACATAGTGTAGAATCAAAAGATTTTAACATTATTAACGTTCCGATAAATCCAGATTATTTAAATCAAAATACATTTAAAAATTATGGAATTAATAAAGCTATAAATGAAAATAAAGTAAATGACAAATATTATATTGTTGGCATTTATGAAGGTAATTTATAGTTTTTTGGTTATTCAATTGTCTGAAGTTTATAAAAAAAATCCTAGGATATACTGTAGTATATCACCCCTTCAAAAATATTTAAAACACAACATTCACTTTTTAAATTTAATTTCGCATTTCGCGATTCGCTTTTTAAAATCCGTTTCGGCACACCCCTGAAGCACATGTAGTTTTATTAGAAAATTTACGGTATTTTGAATTTTCATGCGTATTGAACGACAATTTTAGTTTCGGGTATAGCTCCGGGTTCGTTTGTCGTACCAAAATTTATAATCCTAATTTGATTCGACTTGATACGGGTAGTTATTATAAATATAAATTAGAATATTTTCTCGATTAATTCCCCTGGGGAATTATTTTTTCGACCCTTCCTTGGCATGGGGACTTAATCGAGCGAGGGGAATTATTCGAGTTTTGGCATTTGAACGTGCAGTAGAGTATTTGGGGGTGGGGAATTATTTTTTCAACCCAACTCTAGCATGGGGAATTAATCGAGAGGGAGAATTATTCGAGGGAGGGGAATTAGTCGAGAAAATACGGTAGAACATTTTGTTGTGTTGTCGACATATCTCTTAATATAATGTACTTAAAGAAATAATCAACAACGACTATGTAAACATCCCACATTTTGGCTATTATGGTATTCTCGATTGGCTTAAAGGCCAAAATTACTCCTTTGGAATTGCCGAGTTTGATCTAATGGCTGGTTCTTTTGCTGTTTTTGATGAATTGGGTATCGAGAATACATTTAATGTTTTTGGAAATTTCTTCCCACCAAAGTATCTTCAATTTCTTGGCATTGATATTAATCAACTTGCGCAAGTACCAGGTTTGACGATTTTTATATTCAATCGAGTCTCGATAACTCGACACGTGCTTGTATTTCATAAACAAAAGTGACGTGTTTATTTGGAGTCCCGCAGGGGAAATTTGATCCCTGACCAGTTTTTGCGGACTTATTTTGCGGACAGTTAGGGAGACAAGTGGACATTTACTACCCGGTCTTTCCATTTAATTTTTTTCATAAAAGGAATAAATCTGGTTTCTTGGACATCCAAAATTCTGAAAAATAATATATATATTCCAAGTTTTCGTTAACTAAAAAATTTTTTTAATCGAAACCTTCATAAGCTAGACATAATTGCATTACTATTAGGCTGTATTCAAATTTTTTAAACTAATCCTACCCGACTTTATATCAATCCATATCACCCCGTATAAATATTTTCTCGATTAATTCCCCTGTGGAATTATTTTTTCAACCCATCCTTGGCATGGGGAATTAATAGATGGAGGGGAATTATTCGAGTTTTGGCATTTGAACGTGCAGTAGTGTATTTGGGGGTAGGGCATTATTGTTTCAACCCAACTCTAGCATGGGGAATTAATCGAGTGGGAGAATTATTCGAGGGAGTCGAGAAAATACGGTAAGTATTAAATATCGTAAAATTATTAATTAAATGTTTAATTAAATTCAAGACTCTTTAAACATAATATTTTCCAATATAGAACAAAAATATGCTGATAAAGATGACTGGAAAATAAATAAATCGGGTAATTCTGTTATAACCCAAACACCAAAATATCAAGAAAATTTCCAAAAACATTTAAACACTAACAATAAAACGTCTAATACAATGCAAAATGCCTGCTTGAATGTTTATAATGGATTGTTCTCAAAACATGGGATTCGAAATCATAAAAATTTCCAATTGGATATTTTATTTAGTAAAATTAACTATCATTTTGTTAATCAACACATTTATGGAAATTTCAAGTATTTCCCTGTTCATGAGAAAATTGTTTATATTGGAGGAATTCATGTTGAAAAAAAGAGAATTTTGACTGGAAATAAAATTGAAGGAAATCATGTATGTTATATTATATGTACATTAGTTAGGTAGATGTCCAGCTCGCTGTCAACATTTCCGCAAAAGTAATTTCTGCAAAAAGGCATTTTTTCTGCATTTTACTCTTTAGCCTCTCTTTCTTTAAGAGGCTAAAGTGAGGCCTCTCATTCTTTATTTTTCATTTAAGTTATCAGATAATTGGGTGACGGGATCTCTGATAACATAAGTAAAAAAAGGAAAGATAAATGTAAAGGAGTAAATTGCAAAAAAGTGCCTTTTGAAGAAACGCCTTTTGCGGACAAGTTGAAAGCAAGCTGAACATTTACAGTAACATAAACCCTTTTCTCAATTTTTAGCCTTGGAATTCCGCATCAATCTTTATCCACTTTAATCCCTCAGATCCCCCATTAAACTTGCAAAGAAATTAAAAAGTAAAAAGATATTGATAAAACTGAAGAGGTCTTCAGGGTGTTATTCTATGATGACTAGGGTTGGGGCCCCACCCGGTCCGAAAGATCGAGTCGGGCATTGAATTTTGGCCCGAAAAAGACTTGGTCGGGCCGGCCCGATAAAAATGAAGCCCGAAAAAATGACTAGAACATCGGACCGGTTCGAAACCCTCAACCCTAATGTTGACCTCAATAAAAACATTCAATTGCAGTTACCATAAATTTAAAATTTTCAGCCTCCCTGTGTTATTCTTGTTAATTTTGGAACTGTTAGCATATCCGGTAAAATGACGCGTAATGATTTTAAAATAATGTTTGGATTATTTGAAAATTTTGCTAACCAAATTGGTTGTATATTTAAAGTCAGAACAAACAAAAAATTTTTACCAGGAAATTATAACAAAAATATTATTAAAGTTACTGAAGAAAAAGTTAAACAACAACATATTTTAGGTAATTTATGTTGTGATCAAGGCTCCAATCGGGAATTTTTAAATTTTAAATTTATAAATACTTAATTTAATAATTTTTCAAAATATAAGTTCACTTCAAAATTACAATTAAAAAAATTTATTCTTGCTCAAGTCTCTCTGTATGAGACTTGAGCATACTTGAGAGACTTTATCTCTCAAATACAATATATCTTACAATAATTTCTTGTTTCCTGTGAGAGGAGTTTTGTTAATTTCTATGTATTTTAGCGCTATTTTAGCGCTAAAGTTGCAAGGCAAACTAAATTTCTAAATTTCTTCTATATTGCGCCGCAGGTAAAAATTTTGGAGGTTAAATTTAATTTTTTAACCAAAAATTCTATTCATATGGAAGTATTACAAATTAAGTGCTTTTTCTATTTCTAAGTTAATGAAGTTAATATATACGAATCAGGGATCTAGCCGACCCGATTCCCGAAAATAG